AAAAGCCTCTCATGGGGTTCCCAGAAGTCCTCAAATGTTATTGATGGAACACTAAATCATCTCAGGATATCCTACTGAAATTCTAACTGAAATTCGATCGCCTGTTTACCTTACTCTTCAAACACGTAGGACCTGCATCTCTGCCCCAAAGTCCTGTTCTGATGTCCCCACCCCACCCCCCGCCCCAATTTGCCAGCCTTTGATGATCTCGTTCAGTGACTTTTCTGCCCTGCACACTTTCAGCCTAGCTTCGCACTGGTTCTAAGAATCAGGGATGTTGAAGGATTATTGCTAGAAAATGCATATAAAGTCTGTCGCACGCTCAGAAGCACTAAAGAAACGGTTGTTGTTGTTTTTATTCTTGGCTAGTAACTTACGAGTTTTACATTTTGAAGAAGCAAAGAGCTTTTTAGCCACAGTCCAGCGCTGCTTCCCCTGTGCTTTTCTGAGCAGTTGGCATACGGTTAATGTTGCTCTTAGGTGAATTATCTCCATACCGTTGGGCAAGTTTGTGGAATGCAAGGACACACAAGGCAGGAAAGCCAACATGGGGCAGGGGAATGAAGCCCAGGGTGGGTGTGCGTGGCTGTGGACAGCTGAAATCCAATCAGAGATTATCTGAGACTGAACACAAATGTACATGCCAGCTAATGAATTACTCCCAGCGGATCCCTCACCTGGCGTGACCTCTGCTTACCTTAGACCCTTGTGAGGCAGTCCTCTCTCGCGCTTTTTTTTTGCAAATTTCTGTGCTTAACAGAGGTCTCCTGGAGACCATCTGTTACCACGTCTCTCCCACAAAGACTTTCCAATATCCTGCTTTCCCCCTGCGTGAGGCAGAATACAGTATCTTCAGCCCAAATATGTGTGTGTGTGTTTTTAGAAGGTGGCCAAGGGGGAAGACAACATGTACAAGGGATACTTCGGAAACATTTCTCCCTGCATTACTCTGAAATTGCCCAGTCAATTTTGTTGGCAAAATGGAGTGCAGGCATTTCACAACTGATGCATTCAAAGGACTGTGTTAGGCTGAGGCTTAGGCTTAGGCTGAGCCTTAGGGTGTGATGGGCTCTTAGCTTTAGTGGGTGCACATATTCAACAGCAGCTCCCAGTTCCCCATCAATGACTATTAAAATACAGCATCTTCCCTGCCAAAAGGTTCCACCCAAATAACCTCAGTTTTATTGTACATATTCTGGAGATGAGGGTGACGGGCTTCCAGATTCACTTAATCTGAATTTCTTCCCAGAGTTTAGACTTTCAGATTATTAATATTTATTTCGTTTCTGGCGCCGAAAAGAGTATAAGATCAGTGCCAGGGGAACCTCTCTGGGGAGCTCATTCCATAATCTGGGTGCCACTGCAGAGAAGGCCCTACTCTGAGTTGATGTCCTTTTTACCTCCTTCAGGGAGGGTTCCCGGAGCAGGGCCTCTCCCACAGATCTTAAGGGGCGTGAAGAAGAAACCTGCCTATGGAAGTCCCAAAGTTCTGGATCAGGAAATATATTTTGGGGGTAGTCCGATCGAATGCAGTAGGAATTCTCCATGGATTCATTCTTTCATTTCCAAAGTTGGGACAGAGTGCGAAAGTTTTACTCCTTCTTAGAGCTGGGAGGGATCTAGGAGGTCATTTAGTTCTATGACTTGATCATTATTTTGGCTAATCAAATAAATGAATAAATCAGGATGCAGCTGTAAGATATGCACCAAGGATGTCCACGTGCTTAAAGCACAGAGAGCCGAGCTGCTTGGTGGCCCTGCTCAATTATCAAAATCTTTCACCAACAAGAGTTTTCTTTTCCTGCGTAGACAAATCTGCTTCCTTGCGGTCCCCACGCATTAGTTTTAGTCCTGTGGTCTGGAGCAAGAGGAGCAGTTTGGCTCCATGTCTGTGTGATGGTCTACTGGATGTTGATCCTGTTTCCTCTTAATCTTCTCTCCCCCTCCCGTCCATTCTTCTGTCTTTCCAGGAAAACAATTCCTATTCCCCTCTTCCCTTCTCTCCCCTTCCTCTCGTTTCGTCTCTCCCTTTCCTCTCCTCTCTCCCATTCCCCTTTCCCACCTCAACAGTTCCTGTTTTCCCTTAATCTTCTCTTCTCCAGGACAAACTTTTCCTGTTTTCCACATTCCAAATAGGCACCCGTTAAAATTCACATTTTTCATAGTATTTTGTCAATTGATGTTGTGAATGCTCCAGAGAACCATTCTTTTGGGAAACTCTATGGAAAACAAGATTTCCTAAAAAGAAACATGCATGGAGAACAGACTTGAAACAAATATGTAGGATCATATCAGCGAAAACACTGCAGAAAATGTATTTCGATGCAATTCTGTGTAAAAGTCTATCAAGGCCATGTAGATTTCTTTTCAGGCTTTATCACAGCACATGTGTTAATTGTGGACCATGTAAAGATAGCCCTTTAAGGTTTGACGAAACAACTTTGAGGAGTGGGGGAAGGCGGAAGAGGGATTTGTGGTTTTCTGCTTCAAACCTTCCCAATCCAAAGGTGTTTCCCCACCTTTAGAACCCCCCAGGGAAAATGTGGCATCCACTCCCCAAAGAGGCGAGCCTGGCACCCACCGTTTCTTCTTGTTGAATATGTTTTTATATTTTCTCAATTTATTAGCCACTGAGAGAGCCTTTGGGCTATTGAGTGGCGTGGAAAAGAAATGAACGATGAATAAGTGAGGTTTACCCCTTGGCTATGGAGGTGTCCAAAAGGAGGGGCTTGATTCCTCATTGCAAGTTGGATTTGTGTTGCTTTCCTGCATTCTTCTTCTGGATTGGATTGGAGATTTGACTGGCTCCTTCCCCATGTTTGTGTCTTGGGGAGGGGGGAACCTTTCGTTTGTATCCCTAGGGGGTGAGTCCTGGGTGGAACTTGGAGGGGCATTCAGTTCCCCCAGTTGTTGAAAAGGGCACGGAACCTTTCACTCAATAGCTTCTCATGCCCCCAGGACAGGCCGGGTTCCACAGCTCCGAATGCAAAGGTCTCCAGTGGAGGGCCAGATGGGGACACAGGGTTCATCCCCCCATTCTATAGGGAGACTGCAGTTGAAACGGAATACAGCCCAGAACCATCGAGGGAAGATTCCCAGATCTGTGGAAGCTGATCTAGGCAGCTGCTCTCTGAGGAGCTGGGACTGTTAAGCTCAGAAGACAGTTCCCCCAGAAACTGCATGTTGCCACATTGAGTTTCACCATGGTAGAAAGGTGGGATAGAAATACAATCAATCAGTCACGATTCACCCTCAAGCAGGTCATGCCACTAACAGACAATGACCGCTTCCTTTCCCAGAAATACAACGGAAGAATGTTTAATTTCGTAATAGAACTTTTCTTTTCCAGTGAACAAAATGCTGTGGAGAAGACATCTGGCAGGCTAGACTATCCAAACAGCTGGTTTTTGGGAAGGGGGATGGAAGGGATGAAGGCGGGCTGGTGACTCGCTACATGTGTGCAAGCACGTGCGAACATACCCAAAAGGACATCTGAGCTTCCGCAAAGAGAATCCTAAAGAGGGTTGTTTCCACGTGATCTTAGGTAGCTCTTTCCACCCAGGAAGAACCAGCAAAGTTCTCATGTACGATTAGGTGGCCTATTTCACATTGCTGGAACAGAGGACAGAGAAGTGGTGTGTGCCCATCCTTATGCATTGACACAAAATTGGAAATATGGACAATAATTTGAAATAGAAATATGATGCTCTAGAACAGCCTCCCCCAACCTTGTGCCTTCCAGACACATTTGGATTGCAGCACCCAGAATCCCCAGTCAGTGGGCCTGCTGGATGGGGATTCTGGGAATTGCAGTCCAAATGCCTGAAGGCCACCAGGTTGAGAAAAGCAGCTCTAGAATTTTGTTGATTTTTATATTGCAGTGGCCACCCAGAAAGTATTGTGCTATTAGTAAACAAATCAATGAATAAATTAGGGAGGACTCTCTGAGTAGAAATGTCTGTGAAGTTGGTTGTGATCCAGATGCTGATGGGCAGCTTGAACAAACCAAACTGTTTATCAGTCCCAGTAAGAAATACTCTGAATGGTGGCATCTTACACTTCAGTTGTAACATTGTTTTATTTGGTTATCTGATTTGATGTGTGCCCTGTCTTTTTCCCAAGAAAAAGGGAAAAAGCTTCTGAATATAAATAAGATGTAATTAAATCTAACCTTTGCCTGGGAGTAACCACCAAGAGCAGGGCCTTCTGTGTGGTAGCACGCTGACTGTGGAATGCGCTCCCCAGAGAGGTTCACCTGGCACCAACTTTACATGTTTTTCAGTGCCAGGTTAACACCTTTTTATTTACCCAATATTTTAAAGTTTAAATATTTTAATCAGGTTTTATTAACATCCTCAGTCATATTTTATCTTGTCATTGATTGCTGTATTTATTGTTTATTGATTACATTGTAAGCTGTCCAGAGACAACTGGTATAGGACAGGATAAAAATAGCCTAAATAAATAAATGTTGTGCCTCTCTGAAAGGGGCAGTTCCAAAACAAGGTCTCCTCCAGAAGCTAATAAAATCGGGCAGGCTGCTAAGGGAGCCCTCATCCCAAGCTATATAGGGCTTCCCAGGTCATAACAGCATTCCAAATTCTGCACAAAATAGACCAGGAGAGTGACTGTGACAACCTGTACCCCCTGTCACTAGCCCACCTGGCCACTGCTTTCTAGACCAGCTGAAATTTCTGGGCAGCTTTTGAAGGTGCGTGGAGAGGTCTTGAATTGCATCGGAAGAAGGGAGACAGTGCCGTTCAGTTCGTAGCATGGAAAACTATTGTCTGTTGTGTGAGATTGCCCATCTTCCCCAGCATTGGCTCTAGGGCTGGGGCAAAGAGAGGTCTTCAGCTTCCCCCAAGATCCTTCCAAGTGGAATTGCCCCAGCGTGTTGGGAGAACAGAGCAGGTTTGAATGGGCATCCCAATGATTGCGTGAGTGTTTCCCCACGGGGATCCGTCCTGATGGTGCTTCTCTTCTCTCTCCTTCACCTTCAGGATGAGTTCCATCCATTCATTGAGGCACTGCTCCCTCATGTCCGGGCCTTTGCTTATACCTGGTTCAACCTTCAAGCCCGAAAACGCAAATATTTCAAGAAGCATGAGAAGCGGATGACGAAGGACGAGGAGCGGGCCGTCAAGGACGAGCTTCTGAACGAGAAGCCGGAGGTGAAGCAGAAGTGGGCCTCCCGCTTGCTGGCCAAGCTGCGCAAGGACATTCGGCCCGAGTACCGAGAGGACTTCGTGCTCTCCATCACAGGAAAGAAGCCCTTCTGCTGTGTCCTCTCCAACCCCGACCAGAAGGGCAAGATGCGCCGGATCGACTGCCTGCGCCAGGCGGACAAGGTCTGGCGCCTCGACCTGGTCATGGTCATCCTTTTCAAGGGGATCCCCTTGGAGAGCACAGACGGGGAGCGCCTCGTCAAAGCTGCGCAGTGCACCAACCCAGTCCTCTGCGTCCAACCTCATCATATCAGTGTGTCCGTCAAGGAGCTCGACCTCTACCTGGCATATTTTGTCCGTGAGAGAGGTAGGCCAACAGGAGGGTGTGTTGCTCGGAGTGACCGACGTGGCCGTCAGGAAGCGGGGCGAGGGGACCCACGGGTCTGATCGGGGCGGCCATTGTTCCTCTTAGCCATGAACGTTAGGAATGGAATTCAGGAGTAATGTATTTCCAAATCAGACGTTGCTGGGAAGAAGCAGGGAAAGAGGGCTGCCCCATCCGTGTGGGTGGGAGTCCTTCCTGCAGGTCCTGGGTTGTCCTCCGAGAAGAGCTTCTGGGCTGGGCTAGGTGACACTTGAGACGTGATCCAGGAGGACTGTGTTCACACAGGATTTGGCGCTTTTTGTGGGGGATTACTGTGGAAGGTAGCAGCTGTTAGCCGTGCTAATTATGGCTGGGCAGGTGTTCTTCCAGAATGCCAGTCAAATTTTTATATGTCCCCCCAGACTTTTCTGGCGCTCCGAATGGTCCTGTTGATTGGGATGGCAACGGTAACATCTTTTGGCAACAAATTGGGTCTAATGACATGCCGGGTAACATTTATCCTGTTGTCTGTCCTAAAGCCCCGGTCTCTTGTCTGTCTCACATTCCCCATCTCCTTTCTCTGGATGACTTGTTGGGGTTTTAGAATTATGAAAAATGAAGAGAAGCTTCTTCCAATCCACATTTTCCTTGCCATGCATAATGCTGTAAACGGATAATTTTACGCACCACTTTTCGAAGCTAGAGAGACCCCAAATGCTGTTATTTTGTTCTAGCTGTTTGCTCACCCCGTCTGCCCTTTGCTCAACCTTTCCAGGTTGCACAAGGTCCTCTTTTGCAGCCGTGTGGATCAACCCTGCCAAAAAAGAGGGTTCTGCCCTTAAAGTCAGCTTGGAAAGGACTTCACCTAGATAGATGTGAAAAATTTACAGGCAGGCTTTGTAATCCCAGTAAGGCAAGGACGGAGCTTGTTATTAGTGGAAAGAACATCTTGTGACACGAGTCCCCCACTCCCCAGCAACCCCAACAAAAAGACTCTAAGATAGACCATCTTGCTTTCTTCGACCATGGGAGCTCCTGTTGGTCCAGTGAGAGGATGCTTAGAGTAGATGGACCCGTTGTCCAAATTTGTACAGAGTGACAGAACAGCCAGTGCTCAGAGTCTGGCAGGTGGAAGATCTCAGCTTCAGGGCTGAGGTCTAGGCAGAGCTGGGAAAGACCTCCTTTGGGTGCTAGCAGAGCTGAGCTCCGTCAACCGGTGGTCTCGCTTGTCTTAAGCACCTTCCATTGTTCCTTCTTACACCATCCCTTTGTTCAGCTTCATGATGAATAGAGCTTTGCACCACCTTTCTGGGGCAGAGCTTCAGTCTTTCGACGAAGAAAGTCACAGGTTTGATTTCTGGCATCTCAGGTTAAAAGGGATCGAGTGGCAGGTGGTGTGGGAGAGCTCTTTCTCTTCTCGACCTTGCAGAAATGTTGAGAAGAGACATTTTCTCCTCGACAGTGTGTATTGTCGAGCGCATCCTGAATGTGCAGCCCACCCGGTGCGTTAGACTACAACACTCCCCATGCGAGTGTGATAGTTTTAGTCCAACGCGTCTAGAGGACACCAGCCAGTGGGAGGGGGAAGTAGGCCATCCCAGACAAGGTAGGCCAACAGCTGGGAGCCAGATGTGGGAGTGAGGCGGTGTGGGGGGGTGGGGAGGATGGAAGGAGGCCTACCTTGGAAGGAAGACGACAATTCTGCTGTTTCAGGCTGTGCAAGACATTTGCCCAATGCCCCCCTCCGTGGCTCAACAAAGAGGATTGTGCCGGGTGGTACTTTCCTCACCCCTCCCCAAGTTACAGAAACCAGCAACTGGGCTTGGCCACCGCAGAAGGGGGTGCATTCCTCTAAAGGACACTGCTGCCCTGCTGAAGTTTGGCAGCAAGGTCATTGGCAGTGGGACAAAGTGCCCGAAGGCTCAGTGGTGCTCAGGACCTGCATTCCCCGTCCCTGGATTAAAGCCACGACTGAATGCACAAGGCAGCCTTTCCCATGGTTTGATTTCAGTAATCTGTGGTGGCCCCTTCGAGGAGATCCCTGCTCATTTTCTCTGACCTGAATTTCTTGCCCATCCTACAGATGGAGGCCACCTTGATTCTTGGGAGATGCGTTTCCCTTAGGATCTGCAGCAAGGACGGCTGCTTTTTAGTGTTTTGCTCTTGTAGAACGGGGCAGCCTCACCGGCCTGGTATGGAGCTGCCTCTCTCTCCGACATTACCAGTCTGGAGCTGTTGCCACGCTCCCCTTCCAGCCCCCTCCTTGCGATTCGCTCCTTTTTCCTCCGGTGTCAGCAAAAAGCATTCCTCTGCTGATTTCCCTGCAGCATGCGACCCAGAGCAAGAAGGAACTACGTGCCAGTCCAGCTGCTCGTAACATCTCAATCGGGCACCAGCGGCTGAAGTAATAATAACAAGCACAGGTGCAAACCGGGAAGGGCACCTGGGCAAGCCCCGGCAGGAGGGTGCCGTTTCCTGCCATGTGTCCCAGACCATGACTGCGCCTCAGCCCTAAAGATCGGGCGGTGCTAAGAACACACAGAGCTTCTCGGCATCCACCTATTTCTCCCCCGTGCCCCTTGCTATTTCGCCTCTGTGACTGCGAGAGGGGGAGGTTTGGGCTTGGGGGGATGTTTATTTGCAAGCCTGGATGGCTGGAGGATCGGAGGACGTGGGTGAAAGTCAAAAGCTTTGCAGCGTAATGGTAATCAATCTCCAGGCATCGATCAAATCGTGTTGCACCTCCGCTTAGCACTCTGGCAAGGAAATGTCCTTCTGCGTCGGCGTGGGGAGAGAAGGATGTGTGCGCGGGAAGGGGGATGTGAGGCGGGGAGAAGAGCGGCTATTTAAGGAGTGGCCAAACTGACCGCAGTGACTGGGCAAAGTGTGGCAGACAACGAGGCCTCTCGCCAGCTGCAGCCCTAAGACCAGATGCCATCACTTGCTGTAGGGTGGACCGACTTGCTCTATGAAGCCGTGAGCCAATGTGGGAGGCTGTGTGGCCTAGTGGTTAGAATGGGACCCGGGGGATCTGGGTTCTAGTCCCCGCTTAGCCATGGAGCTCACTGGGGGGTTTGGGTCAGTCACTGCCTCTCAGCCTGGCCTACCTCACAGGGTTGTGAGGTAAGAATAAAGGCTGAGATTGAGAGGAGACTTACGGAAGGTATCTTGAGTTCTTTGGAAGGAAAAAAGGCAGGATCTTGATAGAACAAATAAAATAGCAGTAGTAGCGATGATGACGACGACGAAAACAACAACAACAACCTTTTCCGACCTATCATTAGAGGAAAGACAGTATCTAGAAGTAAATTGCTAACTGTGTTCACAGCATAGCTACTGGCTTTCAGATACCAAAACCTACCATGAGGAAGTGTTCTCTTGCTCTGGAGTTGCCAGAAGATAAACTTTCTCCATGCAAGGAAGGAAAGTCCAGCGCAGTGAGCAAAACGAGGGATGGAGAAGGGGCAACAGGCAGAAGGAAACTGCCTCTGAGCCTCACAGACAGTCTGAATCTGTTGTGCATCTTGGTGGAGTCGATGCTTGTTCCACGAAGCGCCGAATTCCATGCCGAGAGACCCAACAGGGGGATACGTAAAGGGGCCTCGATGCCCCCACCACCCACAGCACCAACTAGCACGGCCTATGTGCAAAAGTGGGCAGGTGCAGACAGACCTTGGGGTTGCCCCTGCACATTAGCCAGACTTGACATTCGAGTTGCTTAGGGGAATGGACACCTTTTCTGCATCTTTCTCTTCCCCAGCTCCCTGCATTGGCAACGAGCCATGGACGTTTACCAGCTCAGCCCCCTGGATGGTTGAAAAGCTAGCAGATGGTCACAATCTGCCAGGTTTTGTTGCAATGCCAGGCCTCTGCATCTGTGCCAGCCTCGGAGAACAGCACTCCTCGCCAGTGTATTTTGGGTTCTTGCCCTTTGCAAAGGGGAATGGTGCTAGGGGGTGGAGGCGATGCTGCCGATCCTTTGCTCAGAGGCCTGAACTTTCCCCCATCATTTCCCAGCTCTGCCTTTTGGGGTTCGTTTCTGTAATGCCGGTAAGAACTGTCTCTAGTCCCATCTCTCCTTCTCCCTTTTCCCATGGCACAAGCCCATGTGCATTTATATGTCCTCGGGAACCTTGCGTCTCATCTAACGATGTCATGATGAGACCCAGGCTGGTGTTGTGGTTAAGGACGTGGGGCTGGGACTCAGGAGATCCGGGTTCGAGTCCCCACTCAGCCATGGAACCAACTGGGTGACTTTGGGCCACTCACAGACTCAGCCCAGCCTACCTCACAGGGTTGTTGTTGTGCAGATAAGGCGGGGAGCAGGAGGAGAATGATGTAAGCTGCTTTGAGTTCTTAAAAGGAAAAGGTAGGGCATACATTGAATAAATAAGCATGTGCCCTTCCTTTCGCTATCCCATCAAGCAAGTTGGCAAGACATTAGGAATGTGAATTGATTTAAATCAGGATGATAGTTAAATTGAGAAGAAAACCTGGATTCAGACTCCCAATTTTAAATCGCGTTTCCCATTGAGATGCCTGCCCATATTTCTTGAGCAACGGTGCAGAATGGTCTTTGCCTCTCCGAAAGCCTCCAAATCTAAAACAGAAATGAAATACCAATGACTGATACGTCGAAGCAAAGTTCAGTATCTTTTGTATTGATAAAATCTTGTTAAATATTAATTCCTGGATCCTTTTCAAGCATCCATTTTTATCTGCCCTGCGTGTGTCTGAAGGAACTCAGCTGCCTTGCTTGGCTTAACGTCACCGAAACTTGGAGCAACACCAATCCAATCTTGCTCATGTGATTTTAGGTGGAACAATGGAAAGTCCAGAAGCTGCAAGAATATAGTGAATTGTTTGTCCTTATGACTTTAAGCCAACTGAGTTTCTTGGTTTAAAGGTGGGCTACATACTAAACAAATAGTTAGGCTGGGCCTAAACATTCTTGTGAGCTATAAAGCTAGAATTAATGCCTGCACCTGCTTCGTACTTTACTC